TTCCTTCCTTCCTTCCTTCCTTCCTTCCTTCCTTCCTTCCTTCCTTCTTTTGTTTATTTATTTTTTTAACCAGGCTTGTGATTTTATTGGTATGGGAAACTTCTGATGAAGACATTCTCTCTACCAATGAAAGCTGACACCTGCTTTGCAACTTACATTGTGTTGTCTTGGAGTCCTGAGAAGTCAAACAACTTGCCTAGTATTACTGTCTTGGAGATACCAGTATAACACTTAAGGGTGCTTTTGTTATCTCTCATTTGTTCCACAAGATGGTATTGTCAGATAGCATGTGCTATCTTATAAATACATAAGTACATATAAGTATATATTGGATGCAGGGGAAAAAATTAAGACAAGAGATACTAAAATGTACCCCATTTCATTTAAGGTGGGACAATAACAGAATTAGCTCAAAGATTCAGGGGGCTTCACTGATTGATGGAACAATCTCCAAAGAAGTTCAGGCTGCCAGCCACCAGAGGGAGTGTCTTCTCACATAAATCCTCTGTAGTAGGGACGTCTGCCCCATCAGGCTATTTACCTTCCTTTTGTGTGTGTGTGTGTGTGGGGGGGGGGGATATAAAAAGCTCTGGGTCTTGTCTTGCTGGAGAATTCAGAAGCAGAAGAAAAGATTTGTGTAGTAATAACATACTTGCACTTTCCTCACAACAACTGAGTCAGCTAGGGAGAGTATAAATATTATTAGCCTTGTACTATAGATGAAGAAACTGAGATTCCAAGTGACTTACCTATGATCATACCCCTAATAAATTATAGGGTCAAGACTCAAACTCTGAGTCATCCATATGACCTTTGGCAAGTCACCTCTCTCTGGGTCTCAGTTTCCTCACCTGTAAAATGAGGGAGTTGGCCTCTTAGGTTCCCTTCCATCTCTTAATCTATCCATGTCTTCTGACTCCAAGTCCAGTGTTATTTCTACTATACCAATACCTCATTAATGAAAAGAAACTGCCAAATGAAGCACTTAGGTTTTCAAATTAAAAGGTTATGTACAACCACAGAATCTTAGAGTTGGAAGCAATACCAGAGCCCATTTTGTTCAATTCCTTATTCCATGTATGAATCCCTGTCCCCCCCCCCCACAACAATGGTCACCTAGCCTAACTGTCACTGTTACTTCAAGTAAACCTGAAGTATTTGAACATAGTTCAGTAATAGTTAAGTAATGAGGACCCACCAAAAGTTTCCTGTAAAGAGAAGTTTCTGGCTTTTGCTTTGCTCTGCAGAACCTCAAAGTGGTAAGGGATCTCAGAGGTCACTAAATCCAACTCTTAATGAATGGGAATCTCCTCTGTAGCAAGTGGTCCTTTAGCCTTCCCTTGAAGATCTCCAGTTAGGGTTATCTAACTGCCTTCAGAGGCAGGTCATTTAACTTATGGATGGCTGTCACTGTTAGGGAGTTTTTCCTGACATCTAGCCTAAATTTGCCTCTTTGTAACTTCTGCTCATTGTTCCTAGCTCTGCTCACTGGAGCCAAGCAGAGTAAGTCAATCCTGTTTTTGGAGGCTAATCATTCAAAGAGAATTTATGACAGCTATTATGAACTGCATTACCACACTCATTCTGGACATCATAGTTCAGTGTGGCCTATGATAGCTTTTTAGGTAGCTGTACCATACCGTTAACACCTATTGAGCTTGAATTCTGCTAAAACCCATAAATATTCTTTCTATGAACTTTTGTCTGGCCACAATTCCTGTATTCAATATTTTAACATAGTTTTAATTGATTATAAAGCCAATTAAAAAAACTAATTCAGATCTTTGCATTTATCCCTATTATTATTTTGTTTGGTTTTTCATCCTAGATAGCTGAGGTCTTTTTGGATCCACAACCTCTCATCCAATGGATTTGCTACCTCTCAAAGCATTGTGCCATCTACACATTAAAAAACACACACACACACACACACTTTTTATTCCTTCATACAAGTAATTGCTAAAAATTTTGAACACTACAGGACCAAGAACAGATCCCTGAGTCATTTTCCCTATTTCCCTTCTTCGATATTGACTCTTTTATGACTACTCTTTGGATCTGCCCATCCAACTAATTCCAAATCCACTTGACTTTACCATTGCCTAGCCTATATCTCTCTATTTGTCTGTAAGCATAGCAAAAGAAACATTATCAAATGCTGAGCTGAAAGTTAAGTGTACTGTGTCTGTAGAATTCTCCTGATTTACCAATATAATAATTCTGTTGATAGAAAGAACGTTAATGTAGCATGACCTGCTCTTGAAGAATTCATTCTATTTCTTTGTGATCACCACTTCCCTTTCTAGATGTTTACTAACCATTTTATAATACTGTATTTTAGAATTTTACCAGGAATCAACATCAAATTTTCTGGCCTATAAATTAGTCACTCCACTATCACCTCTTTAAAAAAAAAAAAAAAGGACATTTGCCTTTTTCCAGTCCTATGTCACTTATGTCATTTTCCATGCCCTTTCAAAAGTCACTTACAGAGGCTCAGCAATGACACCTACCAGTTATTTTTTCAATGTGTAAGATTATAGTTCATCTGGAACTAATGTCTTGAACCCATCAAGCGTAAATATTATATTCTTTCATTATCTCCTCATGGCCTTCTCTAGTGCATTAAAATATGACTAAATTTACAAAGATTTTGTATATTTATGACTCCCCAGGAATATATGACCCTATGCTATTTCACATTTTTATCAATGTCTTGGATAAAGACATAGGTGACATACTCAGCAATGTGCAGATGACACAAAGCTTTGAGAAATCACTAATACTTAGGATGCTAGGTTTAGGACACAAAGGGATCTTGAGAGGCTAGAGCAATAGGATGAATCTAATAAAATGAAATTCTACAGGACTAAATGTTAAAGTCTTGTACTTGGATGCAAGAAAATCATCTTTATAAGGATAAGATTAAGAAGGGATAGATAGACAGTAATGTTAGTGGGCTACAAATCCAATATGACTAAACAGTATAATTGTAGTAGCCAAAAAAAATAATTCAATCTTGGGCTGCATTTAGAGGGGCATAACTTCTAGGAATAGAGGGGTGACATGACCACCACACTCCGCCTTCTTCAGACTTCATCTGGAGTTCTATGTTCCATCCTGAGTGCTGTGGTTTAAGAAGGACATTGATAAGCCTGAGACTGTCTCAAAGATAGCAACCGGGGGGCAGCTAAGTGGTGCAGTGGATAGAGCACTGGCCCTGGAGTCAGGAAGACCTGAGTTCAAATCCGTCCTCAGACACATGACACTCACTAGCTGTGTGACCCTGGGCAAGTCACTTAATTCCATTGCCTAACCCCCCCGAAAAAAAAGATGGCAACTGGGATGGTGAAAGGCCTGAAGTCCATGTCACATGAGGATCATTTGAAGGAACAGCATGTTTAGCTTGGAGAAGATAAGTTAGTCAATCAAAAAGCATGTATTAAGCCTCTGCTATGCGCTGGGCTCTGTGCTATTATGTCACTGTGACATAATCACTATCTGTAGGTATTTGAAGGGCTCTTATATAGAAGAGAGATCAGATTTGTTCTTTTTGGCCCCAGAGGACAGAATCAAGGGCAAGAGGTAGAAGTTTCAAATGAGTCAATTTAGTCTGATGTCAGAAAAACCTTCCTAGTATTCCTACTGTTCCAAAGTGGAAATGATCTGCCTAGAGAGTTAGGGGGTTCACCTTCCTTGGAGGTTTTCAAGCAGAGGCTAGATGGCCATTTGTAGTATGTTATAGTGGGGATTCTTTTCACTCATAGGTTGGGCTAGGTAGCCTCAGCAGGGGTGCAGTGGATGACTAGAGAGAGCTGATTGTTAAATTTTCAGAGTTAGCATTTACACCTCAGAAATTGGCAAATGCTACAAACCAGGGATCGCTTTGTTATTTTGTTGCTTGTCTAGACTTAAGAAAATGTTAATCATGTAGATTATACTGAAAATTGTGTCTTGTGCACCACCTCCCAGAGCTGATTGTTAAACATTTACTGATATGCTCTTGCCTCTGAAGTTCCTTCCAAATTTGAAATGCTCTATTATTGTGATTCTGTCATTTATCATGTAAAGTAGAGTATATTAACACTGACGCAAATGCATTGGAAAGATTAGCTTCTTTCCAGACTTCGTTCAGGGTCATTTTCATTGTGGGAGTCCCCTCTCCTAGAGCCCTGAGTAGTATTTTAAGGTGGGTTTTATACTACCAGGAGAGAATGTCTTCAGCCTTCCCCTTAGTGGAGTCTTTGGGAGAAGTCATGTGACTGTGGTTCTAACCTTATTGGTTCTGGTGCAGAGAATCTCGATCAGCAAAGATTCATCAGTCCCAATGCCTTTCATGGCCTTCTGTAGCTGTTTGGCACTGTATTCACTTGGGAGATCCAGAAGGGCTAAGGCTGTCGTCTCAAAATTCCCACTGAGCTCACTCTTCAGCACATTTTCCAGGTCCTACAAGAACATACGAGATCAATGTAAGAGGGGGATATTCATCCACTTTCCTTTTAGTGTTCTGCTTTAAATATTGAATGACAAGAAGATCAGGTGGCCTCAAGGTCTACAAGCAATCTTTCATGGATACATGGAGCAAAACCCAAAGAAGTATGTCACAAGCATGAAAACTATTGATCTTCATAGGATCATAGGTATAAAGCCAGCATGGACAATATTGTCCTTTTACAGACTGAGGCCCCAAAAGTTCAAGTGATTTGCCCAAGGCCATGCAGGTAATAAGCATCAGAGGCAGGATTTGAATCCAAGCCCTTCGAACCCAGAGGCAAGTGTTTATCTGGAAGAAGGGTTATCTGGAGAGAGTCTAAGTGAATTTTCACAAGGTCTCCCAATTAATTAAAAAAGAGGCAGGGTTAGAACCTACATCGTCTGACCAAGTCCAAGGCTATTTTCATTCCACCACATTTACTCTTTAAATGACTCTAATACAAAGTTTAAAAAAGAGCATGAAAGTGAAATGCGAGATAAAAATGAAGTTCTCCAGGAGTTCAAAGAAACAAGAGATTATCTTGGCCTCTAGCAGGAGTGGTGTTTGTGGAGGGGGTGTTCAGAGAAGACTTTGTGAAGTAGGTGGGGTCTGAGCTGAACCTTGAAGATGAGTATGAATTGATTGCCAGAAGTTAGGGGTTGAGAAGGGAAAGATATTCCAGGCAGAGGAACAAGTGGAAGCCCGGAAATCAAGGCAAGAAAGCACAAGGATTGTTCTGGTAAAGGTGAGTCATTTGGTTTGGTTGGAATATAGGAAAGTCAAAGATAAAGAAGGTGCAGGTTAAGGGCAGCTAGGTGACGCAGTGGATAGAACACCAGCCCTGGATTCAGGAGGACCTGAGTTCAAATCCAACCTCAGACACATAACACTTAGTAGCTATGTGACCCTGGGCAACTCACTTAACCCCATTGCCTAACCACAAAAAAAAAAAAAGAAGAAGGTACAGGTTGGGGTCAAATCATAGATGGCTTTGAACATCATGAGAAGTAACTCCTGGAGAAAAGTAAAGGAGAAAATAAGTAAAGGAGAAAGCAGAAAATAATAGAGCAGACATAAGAACTAACAAACCCACCGAACTCTGGGACCCTTTAGTGTAGGGGCAAAGAGTCTCGCACACTTCCATAGTTCTTGAGGGTATCACTTTCTTATGGTACCATACCATCCCACACCATAATAATAGTTCATATTTATATAGCCCTCTCTCTTTTTGTCAGATTCCTACCTTAAAATTCCAACTCAAATGCCAACTGTGAGGCATTATAGTGGAAAAAATACTAAATCTGACGTCAGAGGAGAATGAGTAGATTCAAAAATATGAAGCTCCATGTACAGAAATTGGTCCATTTGCAAATCACTGATCCATAAGCAAATTGACAGATGGAACTTGCTATATTTTAAAGAAAAATAAAGCCTCTATTTCAGGCTTTGTAAAAATATAGTCAATATTTAAAAAACCTTAAAGGAGTTTAAGAACATTCAAGTCCAAAATGACAGCAATAACAAGTTACTAAAATAATCTAACAGTTTTGAGAAATCAATAAAATGTGTATGAAAAATAGTTTCATTATTTTTGAATATTCTGAATAAGGAAGAGTAGGAAAATGTAAGGCCCAAATGGATGCCAAAGAACAATAACAAATGCTCATTAAGCTTATACTATGTTCAGTTTTAAGGAAGATAAAAAAAAATTAGATAAAACAGCCCATGCTTTGTTGGAAATGAGTCTAATAAGAAGAGTGTGAGTGTGAGAGTTTGTGTGACTGCCATATATATATAATGCCATACATCTTGAGAGTACCTTGCCATACTTGGACTTGTATTTCTCCTTTATCTGCTGTCTCTGGGCTGCTGTTCTGCTTGACAAGACTTCAATGATGGCAGCTTCATCAGTTCCTAAGATACAAAGGAGAGAAAATAAGCCTAATTGGACAAGAAAGGGACTTTATTTTGTCCAAGCAGGGGAAAATCAGCCTAAACTGCTTCTTAGCAGGTTACACCTTCGAAGTCAAATGTGCAGTAGAGCCCAGATTGAACCCAAAACTGCTTTCCTGTAGTTGACATGCATTGACCCAAAAATTGCATTATAGATACAGAGATCTATTCCTTCAATAGATATTTATTGCACATCTTGTCTGTGTGAATCCCCTGCTGGATAGGTACTACAGGGGATGTGAGATGAATAAGAGAAGCGGTAGTAGAATACACTAGACTAGATATCAGGAAACCTGGATTGAAATCCTATCTTACTCAATTAGTTAATTGGTCTCTTCACATTTCTGGACCACAGTTTCCTTGTCTTTGATATGAGGGAGTTGGACCCCCAGACCACTTCCATCTCTAATGGAATATTATTGTCATTATTTGGTAGATGAGTAAACTGAGGTGAAATGATATACTTAGGGTAATATAACTAGGAAGTGTCAGGGCCAGGGCTTGAAACCAGGTTTCTTATCTCTAAGTCAAGGATTCTTTCAATTCCATCATTTTGCTTTTCTCAGTTCTAAGATGCTATGCTCAAGACATAGGCACTAACCAACCAGTTGCCATATCTTATCTTTTATACCTCCACCATATTTTTCACATCTTTCACCTCCTTTTGTGTTATCACTGACACCGTTCTCGGTTAGACTCTCATCGCTTCTCACCTAGATTAGCCTTCTGATTGGTGTCTGTCTCCAGTGTCTCCCTTCTACAATTCATCCTTTACGCTGATGTTAAGGTAATCATCTTGTCATTGATCTAATCATATTCTTTTCCTACTCAAAAACTTCCAATGGCTTCCCATTACCTGATAGTCAAAGCCTTCCATGGTCTGGCTCCAATTTTCCTTTCCAACTTTATTTCATACCATTTCCGTTAATGTATTCTATTTTCCAGATAAAGTGGACTACTCGCTATTCCCCATACCCCTTCTGCTCTTTCCCATCTACCATGCATTTGTGTATGCAAAGAAAGGACCAGAGTCTAAGAAATAGAGTGCTGGACTTGGAATCAGGAAGACCGAAGTTCAAATCCTGCCTCAGCTGTGCTACCCTGGGCAATTTGCTTAACCTCTCAGCTCCGGTTTTTTCATCTGTAAAATGAGAATAGCAAAAGTCAGTCAATAAACATGTATTAATCATCTACAATGTGCCAGTCACTGGGGTAAAAAAAAAAAGAAGCCCTCAAGGAGCTCATAAACTAATGGGAGAGACAACAAGCAGTAAAATATGTACAAAAAGGCCATATACAAGATAAATGGAAATCATTCAAAGGGGGAAAAACCATTCTTTAATCTGACAGACACAATAGAGTAAGAAACAAAACTTTGCTAGGAAATTATTAGGGGAAGGACAATCCATCACAAGAAGGCACAAAGCTCAAGATGGTCAAGGTTTTGGAGACAAGAAACATATGTGTGTGTGTATATGTATATGATATATACACATAAGTATATACACACATATATAATGTACATCATATATAATATATGCATACATACACACATATTTGTTTGTTTTGACCCTATGCAATTAAGAGGAGAGTTTTGTTCCTTCCTGGGATGGGAAGGCTGGTGAAATTTGCAAGACTGGAATAGGTGGCCAGGCTGGAATAGGTGGGAGCAAAACGAGTAGGGGGTGGTTATCCCAAGAATGATATGGTGTGGACCTGTAGGAAACCCTCAAGGTGCACATTCTGGGGTTAGCCATGAATGCTGTTCCCTTTTTGATCAGATCCTTCTTTATCAGTATTTCTGTAGATCTCTCATGGTAGTGATGGGATTGCTGGGCATATTTAATGGATTATGGGCCTTAAAACCAAAGTGGATCTTAGAGTTCAAACCCTTATTTTAGAGATTGGGTGCACAGACTTAGAGACAGTAAGTGACCTGTTCTAGCAGAGCTAAGATTCAAACCCCAGCCCTCTGACAGCAAAACCAGTGGCCCCCTAATGACAACATGGTAGTCCTCTGGTCATAGTGCCACTGTCCTAATAGGAAATTCTGATCGTACAGTTAGTCCCATACAAGAGTAGCCTGGGGAAATGATGCCGTAGCTCAGATCAATCAGATAGATGAAGAAAGAATGTGGCCCATGAATATACATTAAAAAAAAAACAATACCACATTTTCCAGAATTTCCTTCTTGAAGATCAATAACAATTTTTTTCTAAAAATAGCAAACCTGCCTAGAAATGCCTTAGCAATTGCTTGCAGAGAGGCTGGAAACTGAATTAGGTGCCCTCTTAAACTTCATATGGTGCTTCTGATTTCCCCAAAAGAGATGTTTCTACTTCCCAGGCAAGAGGATGATTTATTAAACAGTGACCTCATTTTACATTTCACGATGTATGTGTCATGCATAAGCAGTCCTTGCCTTGGAACAGTTTCCTATAAACATTTACAATGATTTGAGGTTCTGTGACCAGTCACCAGCCAGTGGTTCTTGGAAATTAAAAAAAGGAAAACCCCAAATCTTGACTGGACATTGAGGAATAATGACATAGTATGGCTAAAACTGAAGTGATGATTAACTCCTTGAACTGCCAGAGGGCTCTGCTCACTTTTAGCCCTGAGAAGTTCACTAGGGAAAAAAATTGAGAAAGGACAGGGAGGAAATTGGCCAACTCTTCAATGGCATGGAGGTCATTGGGTTTGAAGAAACCGAAAGGGATCAATGTGTCCCTGAGACCACTGAAATCAACTGTGGTTGCTAAAAATTGTGGTTAGCCACAAACAATTACATTCTGTTCAGCTCGACTTACAGTTCAAGCCTCAATCCTGGATGGACAACAAAATAGCACATCCTGTTTCTATTCCCAAACCACCACTGACTACCTTAAGCTTTGGGGCCTTTAGCTTCCCCTTCTGTAAAATGGGGATACTGGCAAGGTGAGTGAAATAATATGTGGGAAACACTTGAGCTTTTTATAATATTAATTTTGTACATATACATATATAGATGTATAGGTTCAAAATCTCTTTCTCCCTCTCTCCATTTATCATCTTTCTATCTGTCTATCTAGCTCTCTAGCTATAAAAAAAATCAGGAACTCTTTATAATAATAATTTATACATTCATGAGATAGACATGAAAAATATCTGGAGCTCCTTATAATATTAACTTTATACAGTCATATTTGTGCATAGATATATAGGCCCAGAATATCTATCTATCTATCTATGTATCTATGTATCTATCTATCTATCTACCTTCATTTCTTTCTTTTTCTTTCTGTCTAAATCTCTAGCTCTAGAGGTATACCTGGAACTTTATAATAATTTCATACATTTATGAGAAATACATGAAAAATACTTAGAGCTCCTTATAATATTAATTTTATATGGTTACATTTATGAATAGATATATGGGTCCAGAATGTCTGTCTCTCTCAGATGATACATGAGAAACACTAGGTGGTGTAGTGGATAGAACATTGGGCCTGGAGTCAAGAAGGCTTCAGTTCAACTCCTGCCTGTGTGATCCTGGGCAAGTCACTTAATCTTTGCCTCGGTTTCCATCTTTGTAAAATAGGAATAATAGCAGCACACAATAATCTTGCAGAGTTATTGAGAGGATTAAATGAGATAATTGTAAAGGGCTTGGCACAGTGCCTAGCACATAGTAAGTGCTAAATAAATGTTAGTTATATTATTGTTGTTATTGTTATAGTAATAATTTTGTACACACACAGATTAATCAAACCTATAATTTCATCAATGTGGAGAATTTCCAGTGTGGCAACTCACTCCTTGGATGCAGATCTGTGATTAGTCTGTAATTTTGATTTGTCAGCGGTCTTCTTGGGCGCCGAGACCTTAAGTGAGGTCGTGTTTGTTGTTCCATAGCCAGCATGTGATGTTACTCCTTCTAATAATAACATCTTGTATTTGCATTATACTTAACAAAGCCCTTTGCACCCATGATCTCATTGGGGTCTCAAGACAACTCTAAGAGAAATTCCTAGTATAAGTCTCATTCATTATTGTTATTTTATAAATGGGAAAAAAAAGGTTAAGTAGTTTGCCCACAGCTAATGAGAGAAAGAACAGGGATTCTTGACCAAATCTGGTGCTGTCCATAGTGCACCTCCTGTACCTTGCTTCTTGCTTCTTGGTTTGTCCTTAATAAAGGATACTAAGCATTGATAGTATGTGTGTTTCCCAAACCCTTCATGGTAGGGTTGGTTTTGGGATACTGGATTTGTGAAACAGAACTTTTTTTTTTTTTTTTTAACACAGATGAGGGTAGATGACCTAGGGATTTGTAATGGGGACTGTGGTGAACAGTCAGATAAAGGGCATGTGACCTGGCAGGTCTTACTGTGTAGAAAACCTCTGTTTACTATGAAAGACTTTAGAACTCTTATCAAAGCAATGACAAGCCACAATTCCAAAAGACTGAAGATGAAGCATGCTATCTACCTCCCAAAAGAGAAGGGATGAACTCAGGGTAGAGAATGAGACATATTTTTTGGATGTGGCCAATGAGAGGAATTTTCTTTGCTCAACTATGTATATTTATTACAAGGGTTTTTTCCTTTTTGATTTGATGTGGGGAGGGGGAAGGGGAAGAAACTACTTATTAATTGAAAATAATAATAACTTTTAATTTTAGTAATCTCTGTTAAAATTCATGCCTGGGAGGTTCATCACATTTATTATTGTTACATCATTTTAAGTTTAGGTCACATGATTTAGAAGGGACTTAGGGATCACCTAGTCCAACACCCTCATTTTACATGAGGGTGAATGACTTACCCAAGGTCACAGAGGGCCTATGGACCCTAGATTCAGGATTTGAACCCAGATTTCCTTCAAGTTCTGTGGATTTCCACTATACCATGCTACCTTTTAATGTGCTAATACTATGAGCATATTAGTCAGTCAGTCAATCAAAAAGCATTTATTAAACACTTAGTGTTTGCCAGGTACTGTGCTCTGAGGATGCAAAGAAAGGCATAAACCAGTTTCTGCTGATGCTTTATATAAGTTTGCCACCTAGAGGCAGTTAAGTGATCAGGGACAGTAGTATCGGACTCAAACACAAATGTGGGCCACTAAACTGTACAAAAGGATCCCTGTGGGTCACATATTGACTTACTTTTAAAATGTAACAATATTTGTGTTTTTATTGTGTTTTATTTATTGTATTAACTATTTCCCAATTACATTTTAATCTTGTTCCAGTCTCATTTGGGAGTACCGTGGACTGCATGTTTGACACTTCTGGTTTACTGGATAGAGAGAGGAAACTGCAGTCAGGAAGACTTGATTTAAAATCCAGCTTCAGACATTTATTATATTGTGAATCTGGGGAGTCACTTAGCCTGTTTCCTCAGCTGTAAAATGGGGATAATAATAGCACCTACCTCTCAAGTGGGGCAGCGAGGTGATACAGTGAATAGTCTCAGGCCTGGAGTCAGGAAGACTCACCTTCTTGAATTCAAATCTGGCCTTAGACACTTACTAGCTGTGTGACCTTGGGCAAGTCACTTAGCCCTGTTTGCCTCAGTTTTCTCATCTGTAAAATGAGCTGGAAAAGGAAATGGTACACCCCTCTAGTATCTTTGCCAAGAAAAACCCCAAATGGGTCACAAAGAGTCAGACATGACTGAACCACAACAGTCTCTCAGGGGTGTTATGAGGATAAATGAGATCATATTTGTAAAATGCTTTGCAAATTTTAAAGTAGTATAAAAATGTTAATTATTATTGTTATAGTGTTAATTGTTGTCATGTTAATAATGACAATAATAATAATCATTGTTATTTACCATGACCTAGAAATAAGTAAGACTGAAGGAATAGGGCACAGGACAGAAGAACATGGGAAGAATCCAGAGTATGAAGGTCAAATGTTGGGGTGGTGTCTTAAGACAATACTGGAGCTTGAAAGTAGGGGATGCTCAATGGCTGAGAGGAGGAGGGTGATGGAATGGGGTACTGGGAGGTATTATAGACACATTTTATCTTTTAAAATTGTGACTTGACCGGTCTGGTGACATAGCTTTGTCCCCTAGGTAAAGCCTGAGCACAGGGGGTCTACAGCTCCAATAGCTGGATGCTGGGACAGATCTAATCATTCTCAGCAGCCTGGAGGGGACTCTGGCTCACAGGCTGGTTTCTACCTCTACTTAAAAGTGAAACAACACAGGGAAGCAGGATCCTACAGATAGCTGACAGTGACCTGAATGAGGCGGAAGTGGGTTGAGTGTACCTACAAGCCACCACAGCTGTTAGAAGCTGGATTTCACATCCTGAGCTTGACCAAAGGGAACAGCCCAAGGAAGGAAGTGGTTTATCTGAAAGCCTAGGTCTCCAAGGGACAGGATGTTTGTGGCTCTGATATTTCACTTAGAAGGCAGCCTGATTGAACAGGTGGTCCCTCCCATCAGCCCTGGCAGGCTGCTTACAGCTGCCCCTAGGGCTCCTGCAGAGGAAACCTATCACATGATGTCTAGACTCCTGGATGTTGCATGGTACAATGGTGGAAGAGGTCAGTGTGGGCGTGGGAATGTGTTAGCCATGGTAGATGACAAAGCCTTATTTGTTGGGAATTGCTATCATATTTATTTATTTCCATTCACTATGTGCCCTGAAATGGATGGATTTTGTGCCAGGCACTGATGGGAATATGATCATAGATATTTGAGTTTTCCATTTTCCTGCATTTCCTTTGGGATCTAGCCTCAGTACTGGGTCAAGAACATTTCACTCCACTAGGCTCAGAGATGCCTTTGTATGATATCAGGGCAATCCCGAGGGTCTGGGGGATGAGGAAGGAATCCTCCATTGTTAGAGGTAACACAATTAATCCCAGAAAGGGAGAAAGGGTTTGCTACACTAAAACAAACAAACAAATAAGCGATATATGGATAGCTCAGATTTATGTAATAGTTTAAGCTAGGGGATCTTAAATTGACCTTGTTTTTTTTTTAAACATTAAGACAATTGTATTTCAATATAATTGGTATTCTTTGTAATCCTCTGAATTTTATTTTAGGCATTTAAAAACAGTATTCTGAGAAGGGAGCCATAGGTGCCCCAGACTGCCAAAAGAGTCCCTGACACAACAGAGTTAAGGACCCCTGTCTTAAGTTCTACGCAACAACTCAATGAGGTAAGTAATCTGAGTATTATTATACCCATTTTCAGATGGTTATGCCCATATTCAGATAGTCTTATAGATAACATATTATATGCAACACACATGTAATATAGTATCACACACATAAAATGTGTTATATAAGTGTAATACATGCTGTCATGCATGTAACATGTTATACTTATATAACACATATGTAACACAATAATATGTAGCCTATTGTATGACAGTGATATGGTATATTAATATGTGGTGCATGCAATCTATTAATGTATTATATAGAACATATATAATATATAAGTATACATTATATTATATGTGTTCAGTTATACCTAATTCAGCTTCAGAATGGTAAAGTGCCCAGGCTGATCTAGCTGGTAAGTGCCAGAATCCAGACTTCTTGAGTCCCAGACTGAGTTTACTATACCAGGTTGTGGGCATGTGTAAATAATGAGCATGAATGTTGCCCATTTGTGTTTTTGTTTCTCTTTCAAGTTTTCTCTTGCCATACATTTTAACTTAGTATCACAGGATTTAGAAGGAAAGAAACAAGCATTTATTAAACCCCTATTAAGTGTTAGGCACTGTGATAAGGGCTTTACAAATATCATCTCATTTGCTTTTCATAACAACTTTGGGAAGTAGGTGCTATTATTATCCCCATTTTATAATTGAGGAAACTGAGGCAGGGAGCAGTAAACTTTTCAGGTTCACACAGGTGGTTAAATGTTTGAAGTGAAATTTGAATTTAGGTCTTCCTAACTCTAAAACTAGTCCCACCTAACTGGCTCTAGCAAACACCTTAGAGAACTTGAGAGTTGGAAGGGACCTTAGAGAATATCTATAATAAATTTCAGAGAAGGAAACCAAGGTCCAGAGAAGGGAAGAGATTTGTCTGAGGCCATTCATATTGCAAGTATCAGAGGAGAAATCTGAGCTCAAGTTCTCTGATAAACACTAATGTGGTACTGGCTCCATTCCCCACCTCCTTCTCACGGGCACCCACACAATGAGATTTGTTCTAGGCCTTGATCCTTCTAGGAATGGCCCTGGGGCTTCTCAGCTTCTTAGGAACAGTCTGCCTACCCAGAAAAAGAAAATCTGGTCCAAGGAGAGATTTCATTACTTTAGTGTATCCCAAAATGAAATGCAACTTCACTACTGACTTCCCTGACTGCCTTTAAGTCCCAACTAAAATCCCACCTCCTATAGGAAGCCTTCCCTAGCCCCTCTTAACTCCAGTGCTTTCCTCCTGTTAATTATTTCCTATTTATCCTTTATATAGCTTGTTTCTATACATTTACTTGCATGTTCTTTTCCCCTCCCCCTCCCATTAGATTGTAAGGTCCTTGAGGGCAGGGATTGTCTTTTGCCTCTTTTTGTATGCCCGATGTTTAGCACAATGCCTGGTACCTAGTAAGTACTTAATAAATGTTTATTGAGTTAAATTGAATTGAATATATGGCTTAGCTTTCACAGTCTGACAAATTCCTTCACTACTTTCCAGATGTGCAACCTTGGCTGAATTCCTTAACCTCTCTGATTCTCAGTTTTCTCATCTGTAAAGGGAGCCTAATAGCTAATATTTGCACTGCCTACCTGGGTCATTGCAAGGAGGTAAGGGCTTTGTCAATTCCTGGAGCCCTGAATACATGTGATCTGTTTTTGGTGTGTGACCTCTAGGGAAGACAACAATCTTGGCTCGAAAGAAATGACCTCCAAGTGAGATATTTTAGCTTCATGAGCTAAGGAGAGAATAGAGGCTAAATCATGGGGAATTCCTTCAAAATTGAAATGAACAAGCATAAAGTGGCTTTCATACCCATCCTTTTGCAGGCCTTGTACAGCCTTTTGGCATCTTGAGCAACATCAAAGCCTTGGTGACTTGAAGAAGTGGTCTGAAAAAATAAGGAAAAAGAGTAAGTACAAAATATAGTCCTTAACTTTGTATGAACTGCTAAAACTGGGCACCCGCTGAAAAGCGATCAGGCAGCCAGCCTGAGGAGCAGCTGCTTTTGAAGTCAGGGACCCACTAAATAAGTTATGTAAGTCTGTTAACCTCTCTGGGTCTCAGTTTCTTCATCTGTAAAGTAGGAGGGTTGGACCAGATGACTTCAAAGGTCCCTTCTAGTGCTAAATCTATGATTCTATTTATAGAGCATTTCAAGTCCTGACATACCACAATTATTCTTATTGTACAGGCAGGGAAACTGAGATTAGGAGATTAGGCAAGATTGCCCAAAAACACAAAGTGCTTAAGTGGGAAAACCCCCACTTGAAACCAGGTGTCCTGACTTTAAGTTGAACAATCAGAATCACAGAATTTCAGAGTTATAGGAGACTACATGCCCCACCCCCTCCAGAATCCCATTTACAACATACCTAAGCATTGGTCATGTAACCTTTGCTTGAAGACCACCAGTGACAGGGAACCCAGAGCTTCCCAAATCAGCTTTTCCAACACTGACCTAGTTCTATTTATTAGAAATTTTTTTTCCTTGACATTAAGCTCAAATTTGCTTCCTTGCTTTTTCCACCCTCAGACTTCCCTTAAGATGCCAAAGAACAAGTCTACCATGAAAGCCTTCCACTTGAGAGCCCTTTGCATACTCCAAGAGCATCCCCCTCCTTTTTCTCTCAGTCTCCTCTTCTCCATGGTAAACATCTTCACTTCCTTCAGCTTATCTTCATATGACAGAAACTCAAGACCCTTCATTATTTTGCTTGCCCTTCCCTGGACACTAATCAACTTACCAATGTTGGTAAGTTCTTCTTCTAAACTGTAGTGTCTAGAACTGAACATGATGCTCTGAGTGTGGTCTGATGAGGACAGAGTATAGTGGGACCATCACCTCCTTATTTCTGGAAGTTGTACCTCTCTTAACAAGCCCAAGACCACACGTGTTTTTGTTTTTGTTCTTTTTGCCTGCTTTGTCTCAAAGTCAATTTACACTGATTGAGTTTACAGTCTACTAAGAGCCCCAGATTGCTTTCCACTTTGGTCCACTGCTTCACACCTGAGGTCTCTCAACCACAATTAAAGTGTCCAAGAACAAGTCATCTTTGTCTCCGTGCCTTGAACTCTATAATTTAGTGACATTGACTTCCTTGACGTTCCTTGAACTGAGCTCTCAGTTTCCTCATCTGTAAAATAGAGACAATAATGCCAGCTCTGCCTAACCCACAGGATTTTGGAAAGGAGGTATGTAAACTATTCGGTAAAATGTAGGTATTCTATAAATGTCAGCTATTATTATTGGCTGTTTGCCAAGAAATCTTTAAAATTATTATTGCTATCCCCATTGTACAGGTAAGAAAACCGAGAGTCAGAGACGTTAAGTTTAGTGATTACACTTGGACTCTGAAACACAGTGGGCTTGCCTTAATGTAGAGGCAGAAGAAGCAAGTACCTATAGTCTGCGCTTTATGAGCTTCCCTGGATGGTCCCAGGAGGAGGGAATAGTAGGGTTTAGTTAGTAGAAAAAAACAGTAGGCAGAATCAGAACACTCGGATTTAAGTTCATGACCCAATATTCACCAGTGATGTGTGACTTTCTCCTCTGACACCTAATACTGAGGAGGGATAAGGCTAGATTTGAGATCTGAGCCCTGCATGTAAGAAGATATTTGTGGGGGTGGATAGAAGGAGTGTGCCCAAAGGGCTAGAAATCACAGTGGACTTGCCAGCCAGAAACAGGAAAGCAAGGACAAGAGGGAGGAATGGTGGGCATAGATGAAGTCTCTCCAGCTACAAAAGGCCAGATTCTATACACTTCAGCCAATGAACGGGCTGAGTCAGGAAGCAGTCTGAGAGGTCAGATCCGGACACAGTAGAACAGTCAGCAGTGGGGATGATGGGAGAGAAGCTTAAGGAAGAACTAGCATCCTGGATCCTGAGTTCACTAATTGATTGGATATTAACCCTTTGGGAAATAAGAGAATGGAAAAAAAAATTGAAGACTGCTTATTAGATCCATGGGAAAGGCCTCAGTCTAGGCTCTTGAACTGTATCTGTGAACTGGGGAGTGGGGGTTGGGGTAGGGGTGTGCTGATAAATGTTTAACAACTAGCTCTCTGAAAAAAATGTATACAGGACAAACTTTTAAGTTCAATATGCATTATTAACATTTTGTCAATCACTTTCTTAAGTCTAGATAATCAATAATACCATTCTTTGATTTGTAACCTTTGCCAATTTCACATGTAAATATTCACAGTAGAGGCAGCTAATAGCTCAGAGGATAAAGTACTGGGTTTGGAGTTGGGAAGACCTGAGTTCAAATCCAGCTTCAGACACTTCCTAGCTGTGTGACCCTGAAGTAACTTAACCTCTGATTGCCTGACAAAATAGATCTACTGGATCCACTGGAGAAGGAAATGGCAAATTGCTCCAGGACCTTTGCCAAGAAAATCCTAAATGGGGTCACAAAGGGTCACAAATGACTGAAACTACTAGACAACAAATGCTCAGAATCAGTTTGAGCTGGCTCTAGCACAACCTCTGGTTTAGGGTGTTCCTACAGATTAATTTTGGGCTGCTTAGGTTTGGAAGACAAAGTGCATGTGGTATTCATGTACTATATTTCCATTCTGGAGGAGTATAGCTGTTTTAATAAATTTGATTTTATTCCATATGTTTCTCTGAGTATGAGTAAAGAACTCTATATACTCAGCCAGGCTTAGGTTATTGACTCCAGTAAGCTATGCTAGTGACTGAATGTAAATTCAGAAGGAATAGAACATTTTCAATGGGGAAGAAGGTAGGGAAGAGGAGTTTAATTGAATAAATTCACTCAAACTATACTCTTTAGACTAACAAGATGAGCACATCTACCCACAAAATGAGTAGTGCATACAGAAAGAAAGGAGTTAAGTGATAGAGGGATCCAGCTTTGTGAGAACCATAGAGAGTCTGGCTGTCCCTTTGAGCACTTCCTAGCACTGAGTGGCCCTCATGATGCCGGAGTGAGGGTAGAACTGCCAGTACCTGGTCCTCATTGTTGAATCTGATCAGTTAAGTGGTCCTCAGCACCCTTTGTAGTTAAATGTATAACCATGGACTAACTAATTAATCTCTTCTTCCCAGGGTTTTTGTTATTGAAAAGAAAAAAGATAGTAAACTCTAAGGGGCTATAGAAATGTGAGCCACTATGACAAAGAGATACCACCTCCATGTGCTTCATTCTATCTCTGATACTTGAAGATCCATTGGTGGAATGACTCACATTAAAGTTTGAGTTCTTGTTAAGGCAAATGGTCTTGGGAAAGGTCATGTTTTAATCCATTATTGGCCACCATACCTTATTCCATTCTGTGAATGAGTTTTCCAAGGAGGAAATTTTGATTAGGAGGAGAGAAGGGAACATGATGTACCATGCACCCAAGAGGAATGAGACATCACCATTGTGTAGGAAATCTGTGACTGCTGAAGTGAAATTTCACCTACTTCATGATTATGCCTATGCCCTATTAAGGCATCTGAATTCCTGAACAGCATGAAAACAAGTCTGGTTATGGTGGGAGAACAGTTCTGCACTGACTCAAAGCTAGAACTACTCTTTCCTCAGGTTTATGTCAAATAATTTGATTCAACAAACACTTTCAAAATGCTAACTACGTATAAGGTACTGGGCTAAGTACTGGGAATAGCAAACTTTTAAAATGACCTAACATGCCTTCAAGGAGATTATATTTTACTGGAAGAAGAAGGGGAAATAGGGCATGTAGACATTTCAGTATGATACAAAGTTGGTATAATGGGAACAAAGGAAACAGTGAGGTAAAAAGCTGAGGGGAAATAAATGTGAGTCAGTTTAGGGTCGATGTCAACTGAAGAGATCAGAGAAGAAGGTGGTACCCATTCAAGCTCTAATTTTGAAGGGTGGAGATGAAGAGAGTGAATTCCAGACATGGGGGAATGGAGGTCAAGATTGGAGAATTGCTAGTGGTGCATGCCAGCCAGAATGCAGAGTGAGTGAAGGGGAGTATTGTGAAATTAGGGTAGAATTTTTAAAAAATAATAATTTTCAAAACCAAACTTGGCTATTGCCATGGCGGTCAATGCCTTCACGTGTCCAACCTTTCATGTTTCAGTGGCTGGTCCCATGTCATACAATAAGCTAGTGAGAGAACCAGAATTTTAATTCAGGCAGTTACTACTCTTAGGCTCAGAGTTCCTTTGCTTCTGTCTGGACAGATAAAGGATGGCCGTTGTCTCAGCATTGCTTGCTCACATAAGGTCAGAGGTACATAGTAGTTAGAGCTGAAGGGGACCCCAGAGATCATCTGGTTCAGCTTCTTCATTTTACAGAGGAAGAAAATGAAACTCAGAGAAGGGAAGACTCTTGAAGAAGTTCACATAGGTAATTAGTAGTTCATCTGGGACTAGCAGCCTGGCACTGTAGAAAGAGCACTCACTGTATTTAGAGTCAGAAATCCTGGGTTAAAAATTTGGCTCTTTTGTGCAACCTTTAGAGAGTTATTTTCCCTTTCTTAACCTCAGTTTCCTTACTTGTAAAATGCTAAGGTTGGATCAGATTATTTTTAAGGTCCCCTTCAGCTTTAAATCTATGATTCTAGTACAGAATATGCCTGGTTTCCTCAGGCATACCCTAATGACTAATTTTAAAGATTTTAGTTAAATTTTAGTCTCTTTAGTTTGTTTTATGAATAAAATAGTGTTCTTTATGATTGAATGTTCGATAAATATTTCCCTTTAAAAAAACAAACAGAAGTCCCTTAGTGCACACTTTCATGAAATGTGCTGTGTATGCCTATGAATTCTAGACTAATGTACTTTCCATTGTACCATATTTCTGTAACCCTGGCTTCAAACCTGAAATATTTTCATGAAGCTTTCTTTATTCATCAACAGAATGAGGACTCAACACTATGTACCTGCTTGAGGGAAGAGAGAATTTCTTTCTACTTGCTTGGAGATAAGACATGGTTGAGACGCTCTTTGGAGAGAAAGCTAGAGGAAAAATGAACAGACTTTGGAAGGCAGACATGTAGGAGAGAGCTGATTCTTCAACATGTCCCTGATTTGCAGCTTTCCTCTTAAGTGAGATTGAGGCCTCACTCTCTCTCTCAGTTGCACTGAGATATGTCACTTGCAGTGGGAGAACTCATTCACTTTGTATGTTATCTAGTATATTCTAATCTCTATAACTTCTCTAATTTCTATTTGCTATCTGCTTGAATGTTTGCTGTTCACTGCTTGTAATGGTCTTTTGTGTAACTAGCATTTGGTGGGGAAAGGTCAAGCTTTTTTGTAAGTGTGAAGCATCTCTTCCATTTTAGGGAATAATAACCAAGAAAGTGCCTTAAATCTAAGAAAAAAAATTCCCTCTACTAGCAATATTTAATGGAAGGGGGCAGATAGATATAATTCTAGTCTCAAAGTCTCCCATTGGAGGGAGCTTGAGATTCTCAAGATATCTATCAAAGCCTCCTAAGAGCCACATTTAGACAAACCCATGGGGACATTCAAATAACATTCTTGGGCAACTCACACCACCCTACAATATTTCCTCAGAGGTTTCCTCACTCCTCTGCTCAGATGAGTCCCTTTAGACTTGAACATACTCCCTACACTAGGTCCACTCAGCTGTGATATAAAGAGCATATGTGTTAATCAATAGCCATGGTTCCAAAGGGCTGATGATAAAGTATGCCACCCATCCTTGACAGCAATGGATTCAAGGTATAAAATGAGGCATGCATTTTTGGACACAATCAGTGTAGGGATTTGTTTTACTTTGGAAAATTTAGGTGAGTTGCCCAGGGTTACAAAGCAAGTAAGTTTCAGTGCACACACTTGAACCCAGGTCTCTGAGTTCTTTAATCTAAGCACTTAGAATCACAGAATGTCAGACTTGAAGGGGACTACATACCCCCAAAAGAATCTTCTCTCCAACATATCTAAGTAATGATTATGCAAGCTTTGCTTCTCCTGTGATGGGGAACTTAAGACCTCTTGAGAAAGCCCATTCCACCCAATTGTAGTTTTAATTGTTAGGAAGTTTTTTTTTAGTATCAAATTTAAATTTATCAAAAAAATTTAAATTTCTCTCAAAAGGGACAAATCCATCATGATAGCCACAGTACTATGCATATTTGTTACAAAGGTTTTGTTTTTCTTTTTTGTCAATTTGGAATGGGGAGTTAGGAGAGAGAGAAGGGAGCTCATGATAGGGTTGATAGAAAAAAAAAGAAAAGCAAGTCAGTGATGCATTAAAATATGCATAAGAAAGAACACAAGGAAGGACAGGAAGAAATATAGATAAGCAGGGCAACTTTGAAAGTTATATAGCACATTTATTATTTACTTGAAAAGAAAGCTGTATATGATAGAGATTAACAGTTTCATGTACAATTCTTTTTCTCTTCTCTACTTGGTATATGGAAAGGCTTATTTTATTTGATGCTTGTTAACTTCAGAGTTAAAAAGACAAGCATATCCTTGAACACATCCAATGCATAACCTCATCCATGTTTTAGCTTATGCTGCTTTCTGTTTATGAAATGACTTCACTCTTTCTCTTCATCACATGAAATCCTACTTATCCTTTAGACCTGACTTTGTCTCTGCCCTTATAGTGCTTATAGGGATAGGACATAAACACAGATAGTTATAAAGCACATGTAATCTACCTTTGCTGTGCCCCCTGGAATTTCTACAAAAACTTTGGATGTGGGAAGTGAGCTTTCATAGCTATGTAGAACACCTAGAATACTTATGGTTTTTGTGGTTTTGCACCATACCTAAAATGGTCTCCTAGAGAGGAGGAAGAGGCCATGATGGACAGATTCAGGGAACTCACCATGTAATGCTGACAGAGGGCCATGTCTGATGTGGAATGGGATGATGACTAGGAATAGAGGATTGTGGAAATGTTCATATCATAAGCTTAGGATGGAGGTAGACCTTCATTGCTGACTATATTC